CTGGCGGACATCATTGCGCTGCAATGTCTTTTACACGCTAACGCCTTTACAAAAGCGCCTGTAAAGAGCAGTACTTTTTTATATTAGTAAAATCGCCATCAGACAACTCATTACGTTGTGAAACCATAGGGCAGACCTGAATAGTTTAGTGATTTAGTAAAGCTTACAGCTCTTTTCCTTCTTTATAAGGTGGGAAAATAATACGCCTTTGGATGATGACCAAAGATAGAAATTGAAAAATTTACAACTAGCTAATGCATTCAATATGCCTCTCTATCACCACAACCTTCTGGTTATTCCCGCCACACCAGGTCCCTAAAATGGCATGACCCTAGTTGTATCACTCCTGGAGGCCATTAGCATCTATCCGCCGCTCTATTAACCATAATTTGACTACGTCCTCTGATCTAGACCCGCATCCCACTCAAGTCGTCGTGAAACTTTCGTCCGAGGTAGATTCTATGAATAGCCTCATTGTACTTGTAGGAGGGATTACCGAGCTTTTTCAGCCCCTGCTCGCGTTTAGGCCCTGTGGAGCTCGCAGAAAATCCAATACATTTCACAGGCCGTCAGTCTAATGGGGTAGCTGAACTTGAATTCTTGTAGCGTTCATGAAAAGTTAGCCCGCAAAACCCAGGAAGGTAAAGCAAGAGAGGGAGAGGCCAATATTCACCGTCATTTATGCTTAAGACATTACCGTATGATTTAGAGAGAGCCATGAGACACAGTGATACTACTGATAGAAGCATATATAGTACAAAGTAAATTCTAGTGCTAACACTCAGGTGATAAGGGGGTGCTCGGTCGGATAGTTCGCATATAGTAATATTTAATCAGGGCAAAGTCTTCTTTGCATAGCTCCCTCGTGCTTCTCCCAGATAGAGCCCCTGTATTCATTTTCACATTTAATTAGGTAAAATATATGGTTAGCTAGAAACTCATTTGTTCTCATTCCTAACATAAACACAGTGAGCCATGATTGTCTTGTGATACTAGGGCACAGCCTATCAATCCAACACAACCCTAGGTTGGTGTCTAAATGTCTCTTAAAGTGTCTGGTGCACAAGCCATTAGCGAACCATGATGTGAATTGTAGCCCTTGCATGCCTCCTCCCTTTCGGCCAAGATCTGACCTCACCTCATCTTGTCACAACCTAACCAGCTGTGGAGCTTTTTCCGTGTAGCTTACAAACGCAGACTCCTCGGCCCAGTTTGTAAACGTCTCCAGAGGAAGCATGCATAACGTTTAGTATTCTGTGTTAATGAGAACATCTTGGATTGAGAAATCCAAGTGGTAAACTATTTAATCTACAGAATTCCCGCCAGAATTTACAGTAAGTCTGTTTTCTCGAATCAAATTGTAAGCTACATTATTCAGTTAAACCCGCTTAACGTTTTCAAAATGACCCTGAAGCTGTTTGCGCTCCTTAATTTCGCCCTCTTTCTCGGGATAGCTTTTGCCGCAGTGTGCAATAACAACTGCGGCCGGCAAGTTGTTGGTACCGCCATAAGGGAACCCCCTTCCTTGGCTTCAAGGTCGTCCTTATGCGCAAGTCTTTTGACTACATATGTCACACTGGAGGCCACGTAAGCTATCCAGCTCCCTCCTATCCTAATAACCAGACAACTAACATAACTTGGCAGCTCAGAGCCTTCTGTTCTGCCCCTGCCCTCCGCAGTAATAGATCGCAGAAATGTTCATGGTCCTCGGCAGGTAACTCCCACACCGATCATCACTGGCACAAAGCCGGAGTATGCCAGCGCCTGCACCGATGTTGCCGCTTACTGGTCTGCCTGCCAATGTTTTGATGGAGTAAAGCCCACCACCATTACAGTAACTGCACCGACCGTTATTGCCCCGACGCCGACCAGCCCAGTCTCTAAGCCCTCATGCACTAAGGGTGTTGAGTTTGCTCACCACGTCATCGAACCAAATTCGACACTATGTACAAATGCACTTGCAAACCGCCACCATCGTGCAACGAACTACGACCTTGGGGGCCTTCTTCAAAGCCGTGTTCCTTCTGGTGTCGGTATCAGACAAAGTTTTTACTTCCAGCAAGACAATGGAGATATACCAATGAGATACGATGGATATCAAGGCCCAGCTGGATCGACTCTGAGATGTAACATTCTCATGTATCGGGGCTATGTCAAATTCACAGCCGCAGGGATCTATGAGTTCTACTTCGGCGAGGCCCAAGATGTTGTCATGATATGGTTTGGCAACAAGGCTAAATCGGGAGGATTCCGGGCCAGAAACGCTGACTTTGGCGGGAGAGAGGCTGATATTGTATGGCCCAATCAGTCGTATTACCTCACTGTCGAGGATGCGGCGGAGTACATCCCCTTCCGTGTGTACTGGTCCAATGGGGCTGGGGGCGGGGGCTTCGGCATCCAAGCTTTTCCTGTAGCCTGGGGCGATTATGGTGATGAGGACCCTGAGCTGCCCGAATTCTACTCAAGCTGTTCAGGACCCGACAGCCCTGCTCCTGCTTGGCTACCTTGGGAAAGCGAAGACTACTCGGGAAGTATAGCACGTTAGAGGTAGGCGTCCTAACTATTCCCGCACATTACAATCTCGTCTTGAGTGGCATCTATAGAAACCAACTGTACACCTTGTCCTAACGCCCATCTGTCTAAGCCAGCCGTATTGGATATGTAACATCTTTGGATTGTGTGCCTGGCCTGGCTCGTCCATAGCCTTAATCAAAACCGCTACGCCTTTATTTTAACCTCTTATAACAGCGCGTGCTACCAACTGTGTAATAGGAAAAACTCAAATATTATGAACTCCTAGCGTTCTCTTGATGAATAGCCAGGCGTCATTCTACAGAATCCGTGTTTGGAGCTTCTTCGCCTCGCCCTCTGGCCAATAGGGTAAGTTGGGTGAGTCTCGCCGCTTTTGCCCACCTTCTACGAGAATCCGGGTGAGGCCAGGGTAGTGAAACCAAAGTGATCCACATGGGCCGGAGTCGCCGAAAACAGCACCATGCACACAGGAGATAGGCTTGAAGGAACAGAGTAGTGCAATCCTATGGTGACAGCACGCACAAGTGACTACAGTTCACGACCTAAGTTTTTGCGGAGGACTTTTTTGCACAGCCAGTTCATAAAACTAATATTCAACACGATACAAAGAGATCATGACTGCATTTAGCTGGATAGTTCAAACGCTTCCGAGTCAGTTTCACTTGTGCCGTAAACGACGAAGAAATTCAATAGGTGCTCTGCAGCGGCCTCCTGAGCGACTAGGTAAAGATTGGAGACTTCTGCACAATAATACAGCTGATAGATTTTCACTATCTTTCCTAAAAAACAATCTAATAGAACAATCTAGCTGATCAGGAGACTGGAGCCAAAGGAGGTCAAGTACACCATTTTCCTAACCAGAACAGAATAGCCTTGCCTAATACGAGGTCGCTAACTTAGAAAATCGGGGCATTGAGTTTGGGCGTCATCAAAAGCCCGACATGCGGCACCTTTTTGAATACACTATTTATTGTATCATATAAGCAGACTGAATGGCATTTTACAAGAAAGAAGAAAGACTTACTGCTGTTTGCTTCCCTGTTGATAGGGAACCAGCCAATGAACCATCAGAAATACCACATGGATAATTTATAAACTGAATGCTGGGGGAATATTGCTCATAAACGCAGACAGTGGCGTCGTCAGTGTTCTGCTGACAATACTTCATAAATATATTAGCCAAGAAATTCGTACGAGTAAGTGAGAAGAAATATTTACGCCTAGGCAACCGCCTCTAGACTTGCCGCATGATTGCCCTGCCACAGCAGCAGTTAAAGTAAGGATTATTAGAGAGAAGAACTTCATGGTGCTAGTTGAATTGGATAAAGTGTAGAGAGTAGAGAAGCATTGGGCTTGGTGGGGGAAACTATAGAAATATATAGATATTAAAGTGCTATGGAAGGCCCTTAAAGAACCCAGTAAATATTACCATTGCGTAAATTAATTTTATTCTTACGTGTTATGTAGATTGAATTAACTATTGATAATCCTGTTGCAATATTATATGTTCTGACCGCAACTCGTACGCATGAGTCAGTGACCTAAACTTAAAAGGAAACAAGCCTTCTATGTTAGCAGCACGCGTGCCAGAGGTCTTGATCAATCTTTCCAAATAAATCCCTTAGATCCTAGTAGTAAAGTAGGGTATCAGATTCTAAATCATAAGACTCATTCCTGTGAGGATTGCGTATAGGCTAGCACTTTGTGGGACTAAACCTCTGGATATTTTAAAAAGTAAAGTACTAATCCATCCTGCAAAGTGCTATCCCAAGAACTAGAGAGAAAGCAAACGTTTGCCAGTGACATCACTAGTGAGACTTTGTGGCGCGGATCCAAGGTCCGCGCAGACTATCCGTATACAGTACCTAATACACCGCCGGTGCTTTAAGAGACCGGCATGGCAAGTTAGAGATCTTCCACGCCACCCCTGCAATGTAGCACATAACCTACACAGCTGATCACATCTATATATTTGACTTCATGCCCCGGTCTCCCCGAAGCCCACATATACATTCTCCCCTTTCTGCTTGCGCCTACAGTCCTAGTCTATAACAGGCGAACCAGTCATTATACCAACAATTTAATTCAAACTCTATTCTAAAGATACCCCTTTTCTAACCTTGGGTTAATTTATCTCATACAACCTATAGGTAACACAGTACACATAGTAGTCGTTCTAGATTACAATAAGGAAAACAGGCTTTGGAAGCTCTCGGTATAGACTAAAGTACTGATATAAGGTTGAATTGAGCCAACACCTTTGGTACACACACGTACAAGCAAAAGGTACAAGCTTGCCTCTCCAAAAAAGAAATTATAGAACGCACCTGGAAGAAATTTTCTCACAGTTAGTGCTTGCAAGCTGGTTTAGACGGCAAGTAGACTAAAAAAAATACATGCACGGTTTTTGTTTATGTGGAAAGAAAAAACGCTGCATTCGTGTTTGCCATCTGAGCAAAAGGTAATAATGTCCCTGGCAAGGCTCGAACTTGCGACCTTTGGATGTCCCTTGATGATCAAGAGTCATATTGATGTGATATGAGACCAACGCTCTTCCAACTGAGCCACAGAGACTGTGAATTGTGGATGTTGTCTGCCAGGAAGACAAGTTCGCTAAGGAGCGCCGGATGGAGCTGGATGGGTCCGCTTCTCCGAGCCAAGCGGCCAGAACGGGGCACACAGTCAGTCGGGTATAGTTTGCAAGCATGACGGATCTGGCGGGAGGAAAGATAAAAGGCAACGGACCAGCTGCTTCGCCCGACAGTCCTGTCAATTCGGCGTGGTAAACTCGAGCGCCGCCCCGATGCCGGAAACCAGCGACAACCCGACGCCGCAGCTCGGTACTCGTTGGCCCTGTTTCCACCCAAATCAAGTCCCCACACAAGATAACGGCGGCCTGCATTCCGTTTACAATGGATTCGATACCTGGCGAGTGTACTGTTGGCAGCCTTTAGTTGTGAGCAAAAGGTGAAGGGTGGCAACTCATGTCCCTCCGATATCGCTATTTCGATTCTGGCTAGGTACCTCGGCGCGCTGGAAAAAGTTCCGAGTGTCAGGATTGCGTCAGAGCCAGACGATATAGAATCGCACATATTGCGAACGTGGGTAAACTAAGTTACCCCCGTCCTCGACTTGCATCATCCCTGAGATTACATGAGCTCCCTAGAAGGCTATCCAGAAGGACCGTCGCAGCTGGTACAGTCGCAAAGCATGTTCGCAACATAACGATGCTGCCATCAGCAAGGGACACGGAACAATAGTATCGGAGCATTGGTGGTGTCTTGCGCACTGATGCACACGGAAACCCCGCCGATAACCGTGGGGTTCGGAGGGTTCCCGACAGATAGCTACAGTGCCATGCCTATCCGGTTTCTCATCAGTGCCTGATAACGTTTATCTCATCGCCTGCTGCATAAACTTGTCATATCACGTAGTTTCGCGGGGCCCATACCATCCTGATATATGCTCATAAACCTATCTGGATCTATGTGCCAGCAGCTACCAAGCCCGACTCCTAATTGTACACAGTAAAGTCCAACGAGCAGCATGTCAACCACCACGACAGCGACAGTTTCCGCCCCCGCACCGCCGCCGGCAAAGCTGAGTTCAGCACTGGATTCCGAGGACGCGGGAAGCGACAAGTTCAAGCGACTCCATCAGATCCCGGTCCCAGAGTCAAAAGAGGCCGCTCGACAATGGCAGTTGGAGCAGATGGCCGCCGCCTTTCGCATTTTTGCCAAGCTGGGCTTCGCAGACGGAAGCAGCGGCCACATCAGTCTCAGAGGTGTGTGTTCCCCGTCAGAGCCACTTCCGATGGCCTACTCGTCATACCGCTGGAACCCTAGGCTGATTCGCATGAAAACATAAGATCCTATCAGACCAGATACTTTCTGGCTCAATCCTTACGGTGTTCATTTCGGCCTGCTCAAGGTGTCCGATATGGTCCACGTCGATGAGGACGGCAACCGCATCGGCGGCGCCGACAAGCCGGTAAACACGGCCGGCTTCACCATTCACTCCGTACTGCACCAAAGGCGTCCGGATATCAACGCCGCCTGCCACATGCACAGTCCATACGGCCGCGCATGGAGCACGTTCGGACGGCCGATCGAGATGCTGAACCAAGGTAAAGACGCGAAACCAAAAGGACATCATCGCGCGCGCGCAAGATATGCTGACCCCGGGGTGCGTTCCAAGATTCGTGCATGTTCTACAACGACCTCTCGGTCTACAAAGGCTTCGGCGGAGTCGTGCTGGCAAAGGAGGAGGGCGAGCACATCGCCGACGCTCTCGGCCCCACCAACAAGAACATTATCCTGCAGAACCATGGTCTCCTGACGGCCGGAGGGACCGTCGCCGAGGCGGCGGGCTTCTTCATCGCCCTCGAGCGCGCGTGCCAGACCCAGCTGCTGGTCGACCAGGCCACCGCGCCCGGGACCAACGGCGCGGCGAGCGGGTTGACCAAGACGGTAGTCGGCGACGAGGAGGCCAAGTTCACCAAGGACGGAACCGGTACACCCGAGGTCATGTACATGCAGTTTGAGCCAGAGTACCAGCTGATGTTGAAAGAGACTGGAGGGGATTTTCTCTTGTGAGGTTGCAGAGAAAGCAGGAAGGGGGTTTTACACAGTGCAATAGCCAAGAGGTCAACCTTCAGCTACAGTTGTAGCAAGCCTTCTCGCAAGCGCAATGATTTCCCTTCTAAATTAGCTGTGAGCAAGTGTATAGTCCATGGGGGCAGCTTTGCTACTTGTAGCTTCTTGATGAATGCAATAGCCGCTCTAAACCCCTATAAGCGGTCTAGTTCTAATCAGGCACTCAACAATATTCAGAAGAGGTTAGTCAACGCATTACGAGGAATAATACGGTCTCCCGGATACAGTGAACGCTTGAGGTCTCTGCATACACCCAAAGGTCCGTACTAGGCACAGCGCTATTACTCACACTCAAACAGATCATTATACGATGTAGTAAGTAGACTTGTATGTTTTAGTTGTGCGGCAATAACCCCGTGATGAAAGTGGCGTTCCCGGCCATCTTGTGTGCTACGGTAGCGCTGACGAGGCAGAAGCAAGACGGATGGTAGGGATCACTCGTGCTAATGGGACAACATAGGAATTTCAAGTAGTAATGCCTTGGGGTTTGATGGCGAATAAGTAGTGCGCAGTTGCAACCAATCGAGGTCATGTCCGTGGCAGAAGCCCACCGGTGCTAAGACAAAGAGGGCAGGTCAGCGGCAGTATCCAGCCCCAAGTCCCCTTGTACACATGTTGAGTCGCCGTCGGTCCGTCTTCCCCATCCACACATTCGAATATAAATAGAATTGAAACCTCAGTCATTAGTGACGGTCGGGTGGCCTCCTCAACACAGCTTCAGATACCCCGCTTCTTACTTGTGATCATTCAGAGAGAACTAGAGGTAGAAACTCCAGCGTTCGTCAGCAAAAGTACATCGTAGGACTCGAAATCCTATCCCCTCAGAGAATATTGTTCCCATGGACAATGTCCGACTGCACAAACTATGGGCAGAGGAATATCTTGCTGCGCCAGGTGACAATCTCGGACCTGACTCTGACCTTGTTCGAGAAGTCGAGTCTGACGAGGTCAACCTACAGCACATCGAGACCACAATACAGCAGCTTATCCCCACCATGGATGTTGCAAGGCGATTTTGTTCTAAATGCCGGCATTTACTGGATCACTGGCCAGACTTGTCGGTAACTGACTGGAACTATGCTAAAGGCCGCTCTTTTAGCAGTGTGTCCGAGATAGAAGCCGGGGCCAGGACAGGCTGCGAGTTCTGTACCTTCCTTTTCTCACAATTGCTCAGAAATGGGTACCTGAGTAAGTTTAGGAAAATAGAATCGCGCCTTCTTGCCCTTGGTAATGATGTGACTATAATACTGTCGATTCAATCCTGGGTCCAGGGGCCGGTCTTGTGGTTAAATCTACCAGAAAAGGAGGCAACCCACTGCAACCATAAAGGCGCCTGTTGTAGATTTGATTCCGATGTTATGGGACTTTCTGGTAAGTTTCAAGACATTGTAATACCTATGCATCAGGCTCTCGGATGTATTATGCTCTGACTAACAAGCTCAGCAAAACTGTGGCAGGAAAAGACCGACATGTTTGAAATTGCGAGAATCTGGCTCCATGAATGTTGCATTTCTCACCGAGACTGCCGTTCTACAAAAGAGTACAGCCGGCCCTCGAGGTTAATCTCCTTCGACCAAAATGTTGCTCGGGTTGTTCTTACAGAAATGTTTGACATCAGGCCGCAATACGCCACCCTGAGCTATTGCTGGGGACGCAAATCATTCTTGAAGCTAACTACTGACACAATGGACTCATTTCTTGGTGGGGTTGCCATCAAAGATATTCCAAAGACTTTCCAAGATGCCATTTATGTGGCGCGGGAATTGGGACTGTCGTACATCTGGATAGACGCGTTATGCATCATCCAACAGAAGGATGGCTACGACGACTGGCTCCGGGAATTGGGCCTCATGGAGTCGATTTACGGCAATTCCTATGTCAACATTGCCGCGTCGTCCGCGACCAATGTGCGTTCAAGCTTGTTCTCAAAACCAGAGAACTACAGCGAGGGCTTCTGTGCACGAGTCACTACAAGCGAATACTGCACAGTTCAGAGTTTCTTCAACAAAGGACTGTATCATAAATTCTCCCACAGCTCACATCTGGCCACGCGAGGTTGGACACTCCAAGAAAGACTGCTACCTCCCCGCACCATGTTTCTCGGAGACAGCGGTATCTTCTGGGAATGCAGGTCCACGACAAGATCTGAGTTCTCACCTGATATGTCCCTTGCGGTCATCAATTCCGATCACCTCCTTCGCCCAGAAAATCAACATTGGCCCTGGGATAAAATTGTCATGTACTACTCTGGTACCATACTGACGAATCCATCGGATCGATTGCCCGCTTTGGCTGGCGTTGCCAGACGTCAACATCAAGCAACTGGCCACCACTATCTTGCCGGGATCTGGAGGGAGGACCTCGTGTACCAGATCACCTGGATGGTGGTCGGCAAACGTCGTAAAAGACCAGTTTGGAGAGCACCCTCCTGGTCTTGGATAGCAGTTGATGGGAGAGTCGAACTTCGGACATGGTCAAACGTCCCGGGTATGACGAAACATGTCAGTGTATCATGCGCGTGGACGGAGCCTTCCGGCTTGGACCCCTTTGGTCAAGTCAGCTCCGGTTTCCTTACGTTAGAATGTTCAGCGCTCGTGCGCGCGCAGCTACTGGAACCCAAAAGATCCGAGGAAACGGTAGGAGAACAGGAAGTATGGCGGTGCTTGCTTACGAGGATGAATAACGTTAACGCAGACTTTCCCATTTCTATCGATTGTTTGGAAGATTATCGAATCTGCAGTAGAGAGGAGGTCTATCTCTTGCCGATCTCCAGTTTTCCATTGAACAACTTAACCCCAGATGATTCAGACTCAGATGATTCAGAGTCGGATTTGGGAGTTCAACAAGTGATACTCGGCCTTGTCCTTCAGGGCTGTGGGAAAGACGCTGGCAACCAAGATCATTACTATCGTATTGGGT